GCAACCTTCCGATTACAAGACAAACACCCAACTCTTGAGCCACGATCGCCCTTTAGAAGAAAAATCAGAGGATAGAGATAAACCCAGCTTACAGAAAAAAGCACTGCCATTCCTTGCTGCCAGTTTGGAGCACCTGCTGCTCAGGAGTTAGAGCAGCGAAATGGTGGTTTACTCTAGTCTGCTTGTCGAAGCATCCTTGGGCAATATACTGAATCCCAAGGTGCCTCTGATCCATCAGTGCACAGAAAAAGAAGTGTTTGTGCTTGAATGTGTGTGAATCCATAAATGAGGCTTGTAAGAAAGCGCTCAAATAGAGTAGACAAACTCTGAGTACCGGTCCATTCCATTTAAGAAACAAATACAGATGTTGTTGAATTTTAGGCTGTCTTGAAGGGTTAGCATACTTATCTAAAACCTTAGATCTTTTCTAATCCTTGCTGTAAAAACTATAAACATGCAACATGCGCGTGTCCATCATTTCTCTCAGCACGTTTTACTCACATTTAGAGTGCTTGTCACACAGTGCTGCTTCTCTCATGTCACAGAGGCGCAGCGTGCCTTTGCTGCTGCTATAGACAAACAAGTTACAGTGGTGGGGATGAAACTCAGCCGCTGTGATCACCTCTGTCAGATCCTCCATGTTGGCTGGCTTGATGTCCACAATGTCTGATAGAGAGCGCCACAGCTGAGGAAAACTCTCAAAGAGACAGCTTCTTCAGGCCTGCGCTTTATAGACTGCACATAATTAATTTGTTTATTTATGCTTTCATTCATCCTTTTATTCATTTAACTTCCTAACTGACTCAATGAGAAAATAATTCAACTGATTAAAATAATATGGAAACACACACAGGCCAATAATCTACAAACAAAATATAAACAAAAGTTTATATAAATGTATACATAGCCAACACTATATCAATAATTCACAGCAGGAATAAAGCAAACCAATATAAATATATCTAGAGGGGATCGTTGGGAGAAAACTAATTCCATATTCACATAAATTGTAATATTATAAATCCTGTCTGGGTCAGGGATGCGACTGTACTGTGTCCTATTGAGCTGGATTAGAACTCAGAAAAGGGCTGAAATATTTATGCAGCCACTGAATTATTCATTAAGATACATTTTCACTCCTCAAGAATAATACTCCCCTCCCCCAGCACCGTGTGTGTCTTTGTGCATATCTTCATACAACAAAGTGGGATTTGCAGAGCTTGTTGCTTTGTGTGGGCAGGAATTGATTGTTGAGTATGCATGCATTAATGTATGCATTCATTATCGCAGTCCCTGTGCTTTGACAAATATATGCCTGCTTTATGTGCGCACACACATAAGTGTTTGTCTTCATCTCCTCCAGTCTTTGTGCACGAGTGCTTCGAACCATGAAGGATACTGAAGCTACGGTCGGTGATGTCCAGATGCCAAAGGTTGATTCTAAGGTCATCCGCTGACATGTAGGTCTCGTAGTCAGAGTTGACAGAGATGGAGTTGATGTGGTAGGTGTGGGCATTGGCAAAGACTCGCCGAGGAGTTACCTCCACCATCAGGTCCATGGGCTTCAACACCGGCACCTGGAAAGCCCCAAAGAAAGAACAGTTTAACATTTATTCTGAATGAAATGAAAGAAGTAGAAGATATACAGAGTGGAATAAAGTGAAATAATTTAATTGTATCATAGTTAATATTTAATACATTACTTCCTTTGACATCAATAATAAAGGAGCAACTCTCAGGAGTGAAACTTTAGCAAGTCCAAGTGCTCATTCGGTCCTTCACTCATTTGGCTTAATTTTAAAAAACTGTTTGTCGACACATGCTTACATTTAACAAATTCACCCACACAAAGGGGGACTGCACAATATTGCATGGTTAGTTTTAAATTTATGTCTTCTTTTTCTGCATACTGCACAGTGTTCGAATCACTAACGTTGGTTCTCCTCCAAAAGGACAGAGGTGCATTATAACCAGACATATGGAGGCA